ATAGCAGGAGCACATGGCAAGGGGGAGTGGGATTATACATAACGTCAAACTGCACCCTCAAGCTAGATATTAGGATAATCTGCCTAATGGCAAGGATAATGAAGCACTGAAATAGGCTGCCTAAGGAGGGTGTGAAATCTACCTCAGTGGTGGTTTTTTAAGAACAAACTAGGCACACACCTACTGGGAATAATTCTGACACAGTCTGGCCTTTTGCCCATGGCCAGGGTCAACTATATGATCAACTTTTTCAAATACTGTCCGATCCCACTTTCTGTGATTCGTGCGACTTCTTGAGTTGGTACAAGCAATATGATTAATCTTTTATGTTAATGATTTAGAAGTGTTGCCCACTTGCCATGTAGGTTCTTCAGTGACTGGACCTGGTATATGGGAGACAAAGAGGAGTAGTGATCTTGAGCTTTGTCTACAATCAGCAAGGTTAATGCACTTCAAACCTGCAGGTTTCAAGTCCTGACTGGCGAGATTTTGAAGTGCCTCTATTGCACACTTGAGCTCTTGTTTGCTTTCATGAGCTATGCAGATACTGTTTAGACTAGATTGGCTTTTGGGAGGGGTGTGTTCTGGCCCCCTTCAAACCATTTTAGGACTAATAAGAACAGTCCTGGACTACAGGTAGGCCACTGTTACTGTGAGGTAGGCTCTTCTTCCAAATTTAATTGTGTATAAGTGTAGTGATTACCTGTTTAGAAGGTAACCAGATCAGGAGACTTTTTTTGGAAGAACTAGTCCAAAAGCAGGGCAAAACTAGAATGCTTTGGTTTAGGAACTGTGGAGGCAGTGTTTGTGCTGAAATATATGCCATGCTGAGTCATTTGGGACCTGCTCAGTTATCTAGAATAGTCATATTCTACCTATAGTGTTTCTCTGTGCTACTTAAAAAAACCAACCCTCCCCCCCAAAAAAAAACCCCAGGCCAAAACAAAACAAAAGAAATAACTTTTCTTGGGGGAGCCCTTCTTTACCCCTCCACATCTTGGGGTGTGCAGCATGCACAAACCATTCTGAAACAATCAAACCACGAACAAGACAAGGCGCTTTTAATTCTTTTGGGAGTCTACTTCGGGTCAACAGGATCTAGAAGTTTGTCAAGAGCGCATACAAAGAATCTGTTTCAAGATAACTATCCCAAGATTTAAAATGCACGCTTTCTTTTTTAGGTGTGTTCTGTTATGTAACTTCTGGGTAGAATTCCTTGGTCCTGCCCCTGTCTCTCATCAACATTAGTCAGAAAGGCCAAAGCAGTAACAAAGTATTCCAGTGACTGGGGCAAGAGAAGAAACATGTGTTTATGTATTTTTCATTCATGTGCGCTTGTAAAAAAAATTGGAATACTGCTCCTCTCTAAATCAAGAGTAATATGTGAAGGTGATAAAATTTCCAGCCTCCCTGACCACAAATACTTCTTTGGTCTGACAACTCTTCCTGTCTGACTTTGGTTTTGAATGTAGCAGCAGGTTTGACCCATAATAAACACTGAAGTACTTGACTAATTAAATCTTTTAAAATGTGATTCCTTTCTGAAAAGTAACAGTAGAATGGCATTGGCATTGTATGATTCTTAACTGGGTCACACAAACTTCTACTTTTCAAATTATTAGTCGTGCAGTCCTAAACAGAATCAGCAAAATAAGATGGAAGTGAAGCTACTTCCTCTTTGTAGATGTCAAACTTATTACTTCTGACACCATGAACTGAAAAATTACAAGTTCAAGGCTTTACATGGGACTTCAATGTCTAGAAAATTCACATGTGGAGCCCTGGTTGCTAAGGTATTTTCATATGAGTCCATATATCCAGGTTTCCCAGATGTGTAGTAAATCTGTTGTGGTTGGTATATGTTCTGTATCATGTCAAGAACATACCCTTGCCATACGCAGTTATTCTCTTTTGGAGAGCATTGTGGCATTATTGCAAGTTTGTGCAGTGGGTCCAGTGCTTTTTGAAGTGCTGAGTGGCTCCTGCATCACATGTTGTAGAATTGGGGTACATGCACAATAAATGCACTGTAAATTGAAAGTATCATAATTAATCTGCATTCACTGATTAACTGTACGGAACAAATGCTATAGGCCTGGAGTTTTCTATAATTCTCAGACTTGTTAACTTATGTTGCATCATGTGCATACACTTTGTGTGTGATGAATCATGGTTCCTTTCTACAGAGGGTAAAAGCTCTATATATTCACATTTTCTTTGCTGTCTGCCTGTAACTTGTCCATACATGTGTGCCTCCCTTCTCTCTTCCCCCTTACTGTAACTTCTAAGAGTCAGGTTTTAGTAGTGGAGATTGCATTTGCTGGTTTGCACCTCTCCTGGCTTCAGTCACGTAAGACTTGCCTTTTCTTGGATATATTTGCCCGTGACTTAACACTTCTTGTTCTGTTGTATGAGGATGTGGAGAATGGTAAAATGTCTTTCTGCTACAAATCCTCCTCTGTCACTGGACACATTGGTAAGGCTTTTTCTTTCTGGTGGAACTGGCAAGTCAGAAATATTTCTGGAATAGCTGAATTGGAGTTAGAAGGGAACATGCTTCTAACCTAGTTAACGTTAGCATTTTATTAAACTTTTCTGTCTCAGCGGGGTATGAAGGGAATAAAACTGAGGCATGAAACAAGGGTGTAGAAGTTCTCAAAGACAATATATAGATGGAGAAAGGAATGAATTGCATGAGCATGGGGAGCATTTAAAAGCTCCTAAACTGTGGAACATGTGCCACCACCAAGGCAAATAGTGGAGCATTTTGTACTAAAGTCTCATGGAGATCTAGGTGTCTGGGAAGAGAGAGACATTTGGATTCAGAAGGAAGAGTTGTTTCTAAGCTGGAGGCAGAGGGAACAGGCACGAAGGTATAGGAACTTAAAAAAACAAGGTAGTGGCAACTTTTAACACGGTCAAAGATTTTTGTGCAAGGGTTGCAATTCATCCCTTTCCATACTGTATGTGTGCTGGAAACCACATGTTTGTTGTCTTTGGATATCTTCATTATTTTTGTTCATATCTGGACTGGGTGGGTAGTGGAAATGAATAGGAGTTTGCTGTTAAAGTAAGACACCTAGATGGCTGTGCTATCAGGTAGGAGGATGTGTAGACTTACTGCAGTGGCTTTGCAAATTGCTTTGCTATGGTAACAATTAACAACAGTATGTTACTATGTTTTGCCCTGAAATGTCTTTCCCAGAAGTCTTGAAAGACAATAAATGTAGTCTGATAGAAGCAGTGTTGGTGTTCATCAGCCTTAAATGTTGCTTCAATTGTTTGCCAGGTAGTGATAACATTAAGACCTGGCTGTTGGCAGGTTTGGAAAGTAACCACTTCAAGTGTGACAATCACTTCTTGATTTTAGCATGACTAGTGTGGTCCTATGTTTCAGCAGTCATGTATTTCTGTGTCTCCTTATTACTAGCTCATGTGCAATCACTAGGGTGCAAATACAACTTTCTCCTATTTCTAGACAGAAAGGAATCTAAGCTCCCATCACTTCAGTTGACCATAAATTACTGTGAGTTTTTCTGGACCCACCACATTTGACTCTTATTCCCACTTAGTTATCAGATGCATCACAAATCTTTTTATCGTGTATTACTTGTTTGCTCTGTAAAGTACAAAATCAGGAGGAGGAATACACAATAAATTTCATGGAGCATGGGTAAGCGTAACATGCAGCTGTACTGTGTCAAAGTGATTGTCATAAAATCTGTTAGGAGACTTAAAGGCTGAGAGACTGTTAACTTAAAGGATGTTTGATATAACTCAGTTCTGTGGGAAAACTTCCTAACAGCATCATATGATGTGAAAAGTTTTAAGAAATCTGATTAACAGTAGTCATGAATTCTATTTATGCATTTACCTCTTCTTGAAGTAAACTGCAGACCCATTAATTTCAGTTTCCTTTTGTCTCTGTTTTATGTCGTCTTCCTTTTGGATAGCAGCTCAGAAGGCACTGAGTTTAAGCTTTTGATTGTGCAAAGCAGCAGTAACTGAAATTGGCATGTTTCTAGTGGCACTTGACTTGTGATGCCTTGATGATACTTCATTCTCTTTTGTTTGTTGTTAAAGACAAATACCAAAAATATTTTGAGTCTGACTTGAAGAAGCTTTATTCAGATTTTTACAGGCATCCAAAATTGTGTTGAGAGTGCTGCTCAATACAATAGTATCTTGATTTTTTTTCTCTTGCTAATAAACAATAGTTTAAAATAATTAAAGCATGAACAGCGTCTAATATTTATTTTATATCTGACTGTTTACCAGACAGAGAAGGAGGCACTTAAATATGTTTGTACATAGAGCTCTGAACTGAGAACTGCACCTAAGCAAGCAATTAGAAGTATAGCAAGCTGTAAAGCAAGGGAGAGTTGAACTTATTTTGCCCAGTTATTCTCTTTGCCAGGAGTTCACCTCAGAAATGTCTGTCTTAACCTCTACAGATCTAGAAGTATGACATAACTCTGCATGCTGAAGACTTCTGAATGCTTCAGTAAAATCTTTTTATGGCCACATCAGTCCTGTAGCCAGCCTATGCTATGAAGGCTTTGCAAAGACTGCTAGAGGATATACAGTTGTCAGTGAAAGGGGGAAAAAAGTTCCTGTTTCATGAATAACATAAGTGATGCTGGCAACAAGGAGTTGGTGTAGAAGCATTTTGCCAACATGCATATGTTAATTTGGCATGTAATTCATCTACAGCTTTCTACAGAGTTTTACATACCAGTAAAATTCTGAGTCTCCAGGTTGCCATGGGTTGTCACTATGTGTTGGCAGAATGGCAGCTGTTTAATCCAGCTGATTCCTCTGTTTTCATTAATATTAATTGAATACCTGACTGCATGGCATCTTAATGTAAACGCGTGTCTATATATCCAAACCCTTGTGAGGTACACATTTTTGTTATGCTAGTTAGGATTTCAGCAAAGCCTTTTATGAATAACTGCAGAATTAAATAACTTGTCTGTCATCAGTTACACATGGCTTGGTCAGTAATGCACATTTCCTTTCTTTCTTCTAGGAGGGGATGACCGGCGGGTCTTACTTTGGCATATGGAAGAAGCCATCCACTCAAGAGTCAAACCAGTTCAGTTGAAAGGGGAGCATCATTCTAATATCTTCTGCCTAGCTTTCAACAGTGGCAATACGAAAGTGTTCTCTGGAGGTAAGGATGGAAGAGCACCCTGATTTCACGGCAGTTTGCATTGTGAATGCCTTAGAGTAGATGTCGTGAGACCCTGCCTTGTATGAAAGGTCTTTTCCATAGGATCTGGAAGGTGTCCTTAATCAGCAACTGAAGGTTCTTTGGGAACAGGGAATTCTTTAGCTAGCACAACATTTTCAGTTTTGTCATGCTGCTCCATTTCCCAAACTTTGATGTAAGTGCATTGTGTCTCAAGCTGTCATGAGAATCCTGGGTCTGGCCTGCCTCTACTTGTGCTACCAACTGTGGAACACGGTCTTTGTTATTCCCTCTTAGCTGTACTGAGAGCAGACCCTGCATCCTCTCTGGCACTCAAGCGTGATGCTTGAAAATCTCTGCTGCTACTAGCTGATTTTAAAGCACCCTTAGATGGCTAGTGAAGGGCTATTGCCATCTATTGGTAGATCACTTTTTATCAGACCTCATTTCAGTCCTTGCTACGTAAGCATCTGCCTTTTAGAACTGTTGGCATATTAGGCTCTAATTGGCCTTGGTATTCACCTTTTTTTTAACATAAATCCACTTCTTAACAGAAAATTTAATTCAGTCTTTAATATAAGGAAAGTGGACATGTACTTGTTCTGGGGTAATAATCTCTAGAATTTAGGTTCATTTCACCACTTGATTTTTGAAGTGTTTAGGTAAGGAAGAAAATTGAATTGAGAAGAAAAAGGCATAAGTCTGTCAAAATGAGGTGTCATTTTCTGCTGTACTTTGTTTCCTTTGTCTGACACAATAGTAGAGTGGACAGGAATTTGTATCTTTCGTCAGTATGTCCATACATAACATATAGCTAGACTTATTTTAGGATATTATAAGACTACTTGATCAGAGCCTTCATTACCTCTTTGAACCAAGATTTATGAACTGCAAATCAATGCTATAAATTGGTTCTAAGCACATGTGAATGGTGGAAGCTTCCCATCCTTCAGTGCTGTGTTAAAACTGTAACAATCCTTAGAAAAAAAAAAAAAGGCATGACAAAGTTTAAGATGGTGTCAAATTTTAAGGATGAAATAATTCAGATACGCTTCTCAGGTGGAGAAAACCCCCAAAATGTCAAATAGTGATGCCTATCTTCTGATTCTGGGGACTGCTGCTTATTTTATAAGAAAGACATCAAGTCCACACTGCCTTCAAATGAATGTATCTGCATGAGGGATTCCAGTGAAATTTTGGGCTGGAGTCTGTTTTACTTTGGTTTGAATTCAGACAAATGGAACCTTACATGAATATTCAAGGAATACACTGCCAAATCTTGCTGGAGCAGCTGTAATGGTATTTTCTCATTTCCAACTTGACCCTCTGTCCATTGGTCCCTGCTATCAGAGGCTACTATTTTCACAGGAAGGGCAGTGGAGTGGTTTGACTGTACTTTGCCATTGTGGATAACACCTGCAGTTAAAGATTTACATCATTGATTATGGTGGATTTTTGCTAAGATGCCAGGTTAGATGAGCTGTGACAGCTGATGCACAGACAAACTGGCCGTTCTTACCTCTTTTTCCTCCTCCAGTTAGCATAAATACATTGTGCCTCTGCCAGAAATTATTTCCATTGGAGGAGTCAGGAACTCTTTCAGCTGCTCCACCAAGATTCACAGAGCTCATCTGCAAGGGACTGTGAATCTGACTCTTGGATCCCTTGTAAGGAGTCATCTTGCTGCATGGCCTAGTTGTACCATCTGTTTTATCTCTGTCAGTAAAATGGGGCTAACTATATTTATTCACCCAACAATGTTCTGGGAGATTCTTAAAAGGTCTGAAGGAACTGTGGGTCCTAAGATCTACTGGTCGTCATCCTCCCCAGTACAGAAGTTGGAGTTGTATTCAAATAATGGAAGTCTGAATACTTAAAAAAACCCCTAAAAATTAGAGCGTGGAAACTAGCACAAGGTGCACAGAACCCAATTCATTCTGTAAATAAAGCTGACAATGGCTAATGACTTAGAATCTGACAACCTTTCCCTAAAGCAGCTCTTCATAGCAGAGAAGAAAGGATTTTCCACTTTAGTATAAATTGAATACCATCCAAGGAATTTCAAAGCTCTTTGCTTTGAAGGAATGCATGTGTAGCATGCACCACATGTACCCATTACAAAAATGGAAGGCAGGGACTGAGTGGACAGTGTTTTGCAGGTAATCTCTGGAGAAAAAACTGTCTCAAGATACCAAAGAAGTTCCCATCCCTGAAGAATAGTGTTGCCCTTCTCTGTCCACACACACTGAGAGCAGAGCAGCATTTGAAATGAAATTCAAATTCATTAGTAGTAAACTGCATGAACTACTTTTGGGAGGGGAGGAGGTATTTAATGTTTAGCTGAAATAAACCTACAGGGAACTGAATTTGGTTTTGTAGAGGCCTGATGTGACAGATATGGGGTGTAGGCCACCTTAACTGTGCTCCTCTGTATATGCTCTGCAGTATTTCATCTTCACAGGCATAATTGAAGGAAATGGCAGATACTTCATGTCTTTCTGATTCTCATAACTGCAGTTATCAAAGCAAGAGAAATTATAGATGGGAGAGTTGTGTATACAATTACAATCCAGTTATACTCAATGAAGAATGAACTCTCCTGTGTTAAACACTGTAAGTGGGAACCCTACTGGGCTGAACAGCAGTGACATTTTCTGCAGGGATGAATCCTTACCAGAAGCAACCAAGCAGTTTGTGGTTAGATTTTTGTCACCACCTTATCCTCCCACACACAAAACAGAGAAAAGCAGTTGTTACTACACACGCTCCCTACTTTCGTTCTTTCTTTCCCATTTTGGAGCTAGTGATCGGAGGCAAGGTTGATCCCATGATGACTAGAGAGGCTTGAAGCCAAGCATCTAAAATGATTCTTGTGTTCATACTGTATGGAGAGTGAGGAGCAGGATTGTCTGCTTCAGGAAATTTTGTCACTGCAGAAACTAGGATACATTTTTCACTGGTGAAATACATAGGCACTAAGGTAGTCTTACTAGGTATAAACCTTGCCTGTAATGTATAATGGGCAGTAATTGCATTAATTCATTTAATCATCAAAGGACACTTAGACATAAGTGACTTGTTTATTGTACCGTGGAAAAGATGAGCTACTGCAGTAATTTAAGGCTGGCGTGATTTAGCTAGGAGCCTGTGCAAAGAGCAAGTGGATGGAGAAAAATCTCACACCTCATTAGTCAAAGAGAAACTTTCTCATATTTCTTCTGTTGGGACAGAATACAGTTTGAAATGTGTATGGGATAAATGAAAACTGAGTCAACTGAACACTTAAGAATCATAACATGAAATCTTGCTCCTTCTGAACCTCTGGTTTTGGTGTACGTTAGGAAAGCTTCACAACTTCATATTGCAACTACAAAGACGTAGCATAAAAATATGACTGTGGGCTTTCTGGGGTTTTTTTCTTCTGAATTAAATATAAATGTGTGTCCTCTTAAATATTTCTAAAGAGGAGGTGCCAACTTAGATAGATTAATATTCAGTGCAGAGACTAAAAAAATACTCTGCTCCTCTAGCTTGAAAAACACTGCATGAGCCAGTGGAATTACTTTGTAGCTGTGACCCTCTTAGTCTGCATGCATGTGGTTGGTTTCCATTGTATTCAATGGATGTGATCAAAGAAAAGTGATACGATTGTCTGGTTACTTGGCTTGGTTTTTGTTAATACAAAAGAAATTACACTGGCTGTCACGTTCGTGCCTTCTCAATGGTTGCAAAACCCTGAACGCTGACAGTGTGAACTGGTGGCATTTGAGCTGGGTGCCCCGTGCATTTTGCTTATGGCATCTCTTTTCACCTTCCATTATCTTTTTGTGGAGCATCCTCTGAGCAGGAAGAAAGGTGTATTCACATGAGAGTTAAAGGTGTTCTGCTGCATCATACAATATTCTTCTCTTTACTGCAAATGTCCTAAAACTCAAACTCAAACTGAACAATGATCAGTAACACAGTTAAGTAGAATTATTTGTTGAGCAATAGCAGATGGAATGGATTGGTGCATTTGATCATGACTGGAAATGTCACATGGAGCCTTTCACATAACTGAGCAGAGGGCTGACCACTTGGCAACTGAACTGTTCTTTTCTCTGCTTCGGTTTTGGTTTTGAACTAGAAAATTTAAAAAAAAAAAAAAATTTACTACTTTTTTTTTTTTTCACTATAACGTCTTTTAACCACTGGAACATGATGTTAAGTGTTTATATTTCTCTTTATAGGCAATGATGAGCAAGTTATACTCCATGATGTTGAAAGGTAAATACACAGCTTGTGTTTCCATTGCTTCAAGAGCTCGTTTAATGTCAACTCACTGGAGGCACTTTTTGTTTTAAATTAATGGTCTGGGAGAAGAGTACAGTGATTTGATCCTGAAGCATGCGTTTTATTTACCAAAATTCATATCTGGAATGAAGCGTTCCCCATCACCCCATTTTTTTTTTTTTTTTCAGCACTTGGGTTCTGCATCGTATTGACCTTGGGAAAGAGAATGGTTATTAAATACATATGCTCTCCTGCAGGCAGCATAGTAGGTTCTGATTAGCTTCAGAGCCAGATTATCCTGGCACATATACAAATCTTGTGGCACATACAGGCTTTTTGTTTTATTTTTCAAAACAATCACCTGACTTGTATTTAAGATAGCTAGGTGCTTGCCCTACCTAACTGCCTTTTAAAACGTTGGCTGCAGCTGCCTGATTCTCCACACTAATGTGAAGTGTATTTATTTTGATACTCACTTTTTACCAAAACTGCAAAGCAGTTGGGAATTAAGCTTTGTTGTGCTACATCAAGATTAGGCTGTTAGTGAAAATATAATTAATGCAGTAGTAGTAATCTATTAGACTGGAGTTCTCTAGATATCATGTCTTTTAAGCTTACTGCTTTTGAAGTAGAAAAATTATAAAGTTAGAATTTTGGTCTGTACTAATAACTTCTACAGATTTAAACAATGACCATTTAAATAACATGAACTCAAGAAAATCAAGTCTAAAGAAAAAGCAGGAAGAGTTATGTGTAGAACAGAGAAATATAAAACCTTAAATGTTTTTGAGTTGCCTGAATCCTAGTTAACATAATTTGGACATGTTTCTTGCTAGGTTTGTCCAATGCCTTTTGCATTTAACTGATCATTGTACATCTGCCTTCCTTCATACCTTATATCTACTTCTTGTCTTAAGTCTTACATGAGAGCTGGGCAAAAGTAACTTTGTCTTGCTCTTCTAATGCTTTCTCAGGAATATTATGTTGCTTGGTGAGGATTTTTTTGGGGTTTTTTGGCTTGCCTTTTTGGGTTCTGGGTGGTTTTTTTTGAGGGGGTGCATTTTTTGTTTGGTTTGGGAGGTGTTTGGTTTTGGGAGGGTTTTTGGTTTGGTTTAACGGTTTTTTGTTTATTTTCTTTTAATTAAATGTGGAAATGTCAGAATTTTAGGTGCTGGTGTTTATTGTGTTCTTACTTTTCAGGTTTCTACAAGATCTTCATCCTTGACAGTTTTCTATATAAGACATTTTTTCTTGCTATGTCTTGTTTAGATGTTTTAACAAGTCTTTTTGATATGAATGTATTTTTAATGTGGTTTTTTTATCAGGGTTTTTTTAGGTATGCTAAGTCCAGTTGTAATGCATACAGAATTCATTCCTCTGAGGCTATTTATGTGATCTTCTGAAAGAAACTAGTCTGACACGCTAAATTCTGATTGATTTCCTTAGAAAGTTACTCTGTCCTCTTGAATGATAACACTTGGTCTATCAACTGCTTTTTCATACTTCTAAGTGGCTTTTTCTGCTACTGTTTTTTTGGCCTTTCTGTTAATGGTCTATGAGGCAGAATTAGTAGATCTGTCACTAAGAACATGGATTGCCATGTGAGCAAAACACTGATTTTACATGGGATCTCTTCGATGGAGTTTCCATGAGGTGTGGGGATTGTATACAAAGTGTATTCTCTAAAGAAATAAAAGGGTTTTGCCAAAGAAATAAACCAACCCCAGAATCTTCTGTCTTAGTATTTTAGCTTTTAGCATCTCCATGCCACTATTTCCTCCTTGTTAAATGATCTAAAAAGTTGGGGAAAGAATGGGGAATGGACTTTCTCTTTTTTATAGCTGCAGAATGGTTGAAAACTAGGTACTTTGAGGGGACTTATTTTTATTTTGTTCTTTTTTGCTTCTTTTTCTCCATGGAAAAAATAAAGGTCTGGTCTATCCTGGAGAACTAAGAAAGCTTATTAAAAAAAACAGCTGGGAAGTTGCTCTTTTGTGAGCTTCAACTGAACTTTTGGATGATACAGAAGCCTGCATTAAAAAATTAACTTCTGTCTTGTTTTCCTTTTTACATTAAGTAGTAAAAATTTAGTCCACAGGCCCCAAGACCTTTTTCTCTTTCCCATTACCTTCTCCCAAGTTTAATCTAGTACAACATGATTTCCATAGCATCTTGCAGTTTCTGAAGTTTTTAATGTGTGGGTTTTGGTCTGAGGGCTTTTTTTCCTCATAGCATGATGTCTTGGTCACTCTACATGGGCTTTTTGTTTTTTACTCTAAACACAAGAGTCGTCTTATGAAGTTGCATAAGCCTTGCCACTAAGTATTATGAGGGAGACAAAGCTGTAAATACTTTGCTTTTTAAGACAACAGCAAAACGAGGAAGAATGGTAATATCATGTGTCTTTTTTCCAGCACCGAGACCTTGGATGTGTTTGCCCATGAAGATGCAGTGTATGGCCTTTCAGTGAGCCCAGTAAATGATAACATCTTCGCCAGTTCATCAGATGATGGCCGGGTTCTTATTTGGGACATCCGAGAGTCTTCCCATGGAGGTGAGAAGTCTAGATGGAAAAGATAGTTCATTTAGGAAGAATTTGGGCAAGTCAGGGAAGGGAAAATTTATGTTTATCATCTGGGACAATCGAGACAGGGTGTGTTGGAGAAGGGTGAAAGTGAGTCTTTGCAGTTCAGTGTAATTGTCTTAAACGACTCCATGAAGTGCCAGCATGTAGTGCAGGCTAGTGTATAACTTGGTATGAATAGGTTTTTAACTAGAGTCAAGAAGCAGTGGAGGACGTGTTTCTTCAATAAAAACATCTTGCTAAACTTGAAATCAATTAGGAGTGTGGATTATTTTGGGGGGGGGGTTTGGTTTTTTTTTTTGTCTGTAGCCTGGGATAAAAAAATCTTTGGGTGTTTAGAAAGCTGTTATTTTGATTTGAATAATTTTCAAAGCTATTTATATACTTCCCTGTGTCACTGAGAATTGTTCTTATGCATAATGTTTTCTGGTTATGTGGAAACTTAGAGCCCTTATGTGATAACAGGGAAGTTGAATTATTACTTCAGTCATTGTTTTCTAGAACAGAACTAAATACTGTTGATTTATGTAACAAACTTGCAGCTTCTCAAAAAACTGCAATCTGTGCTTTTACAGCTGCAGTTTTAAGACTGAAGAATCTCAGTTTAGAAATGTAGTTATGTAAATTTGGAGAGGAATACTTCCATAATTGAATTTCAGTATATGAATACCTAAGTAATACTTTGGTAAATGAAGTTGTGAGTTTACCCCATTCTAAAGAACACAAAGCTGAGAATTTAAAACTGAGCAATTTGTAGGAGTACAGTATCTGATTCCTTTCCTTCATGGCTAAAATAAATTGCCATCTTTTTTTGTAAGCTGATTAAGCGCAATTGCCTCAACTCATAGTTTTTACTGATATAACAGGGAAGTTGTTTATGGCTCTGAAATGAGCTTATGTATTTTGTGGCAATTTGTACACATGTGTTGTGGGGCCAAAGTTGCTGTTTAGCTGAAATAGCTTTTTCTATACCTAGTGAATTTGATAACTTTCTGGACTGTGATTCTGCCCCTTTTTGACTAGGAAATGAAAGCTGAAACAAGACATACTTTATAGTCTCATAGGAGTCTTTTAGAGCCACTAGTATCATGAGGGCTTTATTGAACGTGAGTAACCAGAATTAGGTCTTTCTTGATAAGTCCCACCAGAATACTGGGAGTAGATTGCTTATTGATGCCCTCCCTATCCTAGGCATATTGCCTTTGTACGAATAAAAATTACTAGCACTGCACTCAGTTTTCAGTAGTCTGATTCTTACTGTGAATTCTGATTCTCTTTTGTGCAATTGTGATACTCTTTATCTCTTCCCTTCCGGTAATTTTATTAAAACATTCTGAAAAACAATGCCCACACTCAGTATATGCGTATCACAGACTTTAATAAAATTATCTATAATGTCTCTTCTCTGTCTTTGAGGAAATCACTGATAAGCTCCCTCTTGCTCAGAAGTCCCTTACTAGCACAGCGAACTGTTGTCTTCCCTTCAGCCAGTTTCTTACCCCATGCAACTCCCTTTGCTAATCCCAACTGCCTGTAGCTAAACTTGATACTATACCATGTGTGAATTTAGTCCTAATTAGATCTGCCACTTTTCCCTTGTCTAAAGGGTCACTTTATCAAAGAGATCAGATTAGTCTGATGTGAGTAATTTACCTTTGGTAAATCCAAGTGTCATTTCATCCCTATTTTTCTGTTTTCATAATATCCAAGTGATGAGACCAGACACTGAATATGGCTTCCAAATTAGAAATGGTGAAATGCTGCTTTATTGCCTTCTCCTGAACTGTACACTGTAAAGATCTGTCTCATAGGAAAACTACCTGTTGCTGACAGTTGATGTCAACAGTCGGTGGGACTGGATGCTTAAATGCATCTGTATGAAGCTGCCCAGTATCGTAAGCTAGTGTCCAATCTGATCTGAGTTTCTGAAATTGTATGAAAGGAGGTTTGTCCTTCTTTGTTGTAGTTAAACCTTGCTACTGCTTTTACTGTTGCTCAGACTTTGAGAAGGCTGCACCAGTGAAAAGTGTTGGCTGTGGTACATGGGGGGCTTTTTTTTGAGCAGTGTCTTAGGTTCTCTGAAATTTAAATAAAGGGCTTTTGCATGCTTATATAGGAGTCCTGAGTCAGCATTTATATGTGAGCCCTGTCAACATTTACTACAATATAATGCTTGTCACTGGGGTAATCCCCTTGTCTGCAACAGTATTGTCATGGGAATAGGCGCTATGCCTGCCAGCATTAAGTATAGTTAGTTACCCTGAGTGGCCAGCTCATTAAAATCTTGCAAACAACCTCCTAGTTTAAAATAGTGTATTAAAAGAAGCTGGAAAAGGAGTTTCATTTCCCTTCTGTTTCTCCCTGTCTTTCACTGCTGAGTGATTTATGCAGTAAATTTTATAAACCCACTCTTAATTTTCATTAGAGATGGTGTTGAGCTTCTCCCTTGAGAAGCATTTTCATACTCGCGTGTATAAGAGCTATATTTGTGAATGAGCATAAAGAACAATAATAAAAGTAATCCCCCTACTTCTCATTGAAATGACTTAGTGCCTCATTAGTTTTGCTCCTGTAATCTCTCTTTAATTTGACAGGCTGAAAGGCAACTTTTGATATCTTAGAAGAAAACTGTGGTGCCAGGCTATTTATAGTAAAGGAGCGAAGGAAAACACCAGTGATTACTGACAATGATATAATTAAACAAACGTACACAAATTTAAAGTTTATTTTAAAAAACAACTCCTTTATTTGGCAATCTGATGTTGTTTGTCTCTCCACTCAGCTAATGCAGGCCATTGCTTCTCAGTGGGGGCTGCCATTTTAATAACACAGTCTTTTATGTCCCAGCAGGGATCTGATTTGATGATGCAAATGCAGAAGGTCAGTTTTGGTGTTAAACCTTATTTGGAGCTGCCAGCAGACCAACAGCGATCTCTAAAGCCTTGGGGAAGGCTGGCAGAACAAAAGTTTGCTCCTGTTTTCCCCTTTACCTCTGCCTCCTATGACAGTTAATAGCACCAGGGAGCTTCAGCCATGGTTGGAGACCTTTGTTTTGATCATTGCTAAATGAACACTAAAAAGGAAGGTCCCTGTGTCAAAAAGCTTGTAATAGAGCATAAGAGGAGGATACGGATAGGGCAGGACAAGTAAACATTAATTCTGTCTCAATTGCTCGATGGCAGTAGTTTCAGAAGGTATTGGCAATTTGGGAGGGTTATCTGTTTAACCATGGTTTATATGTCTTAATGAGGGATAGGGGGAAAGAAAATTAAGTACCTTTGGAGGTGCTTGTGGGGCTAAATGTGCCTGAACATAGTGGCTCAAATAAGGGCAGTAAGAGAGTCTCCCAGGCATGTGAGCAACACAGTGCTTGCATCAAAACAAGCAGTGAATGGAAAAGTCTAGCATAATCCCTGGCTCAAAATAGGCATTGATTCTTGTTTCTTAGTTGAGTGAAAGAGTGGCAGCATGCCACAAAAGATACACACAACAAAGAGAATTAGACTGTGCCTAAAGGCATAAAGCTAGCGAAAGATACAGAGAAGGTTGACAGAGTCAAGGCTTTTTCCCACTCATCATGGAGGCAGCATTTTGATGGAATGAATAGGGCGGAGTAGCAGACCAAACATAGTTTTGTTACATTAATCAAGATGAGAGGGAGAGAGTCTGGATGAGTATGTTTTTAACTCTGTGTGTGATTTGTGTGTGAACAGCAAAAGCCAACTGTTAATATTTTTATGCAAGAGGAGCACCCTTCTTGTCTACTTGTACAGCTGCTTGTACAGCACTTAAGAGGTGGCAGGCCTCTTTATCCCCAGGGTTGGCAGCTTGCTTTGAGCTGAGTTCCATACAAACTTATTTCACTTTTTGTAGTATTATTCTCCCATATAAGCAATTGCTGCTACATTTACAGTTTGGGTGATCATCAATGGCTGTGGAAGCTTCCAGGTATATATTGCTAGGCAACTTTCAGAAGCCTCCCCTGTGTGTAGTCCTTTGTAGATGACCATTCAGTCATGAACCTTAAGAAGATTCAAATACTTGATCTTTAAGTGGCTGGTTTTAAACTCTGATAACCTTCCATAAGCAAAATGGGGTCTTGAATTTCACTATGTGTCCTTTTCCATATTTAGACAAAGTTAATGTACATGTGGGTGGATTTTAAAACCTCAGTTTTTATATTGCTTTGGATGTGTCAGCTTGAGAAATGGTTTGAACATGTCTCCATATCTTCAGATCTTGTTATGCTGTTTCCATATTAAGCTGCCAAACTCATTGCATCGAACAGTTGTATGCATTGTTTGTTCTTATGTCTGAAATGTCAACTTTTTCAACAGAGCCCTTCTGCTTGGCACACTACCCATCAGCCTTTCACAGTGTGATGTTTAATCCAGTAGAACCCAGATTACTAGCTACTGCCAACTCTAAGGAAGGTGTGGGACTCTGGGATATTCGTAAACCTCAGAGGTAAGATCTTTCTGTCCTTGTCTTACACTGTGCTATTTCTTTCCCTTGAGAGGTGATGGCATGCCACTCTCTTTTTTTTTAAAGCCAGAACATACGATGGTAAGAAAAGAAGCAGAACAAAGTTAACAGCAATGTTAGTAATGTGGAATTAAAGTATTTTGCATAATTGACATTCCTCTTCATACATACAATCTAATTTGATTTAAAATGGGGCTAGATCTTCAATATTAAGGTAAATGATTTTTTTGGAAGCCTGCCTGGCCTCACCACTGCAGATTAACTTGGATTGTTGTGTCAAGTTTGCATCATTATATTCAGCACTGGCTTGCTAATACTAGAGGAAGCTGTGGTGGGCACTGCCTGGTTTACAGTTCATTTTTTCTACCCAGCTCAAGTTTTCAGTGGCTGACTAGAGACTGTGGTCAAGGCAGCTTTTTACTCAATGCTTAAGAGTTGTATATGACTTCCCAGACACCTGGATAATCAATTGGGCTGCATAAAGTGCTTCCAGATTTGCATAGGATTTTCAACAAATGAAGAGAGTAAGTTTGCAGTATCAAGTGTGGTGAATTTGGCTTCTAAACTGGACATATGCAGTGTCTGATACCAGAGCTTCACCTGCATGAGAGATTAAACTTCTGTTGAAGTCTTTTTCAATCTTTCAGATTCTGAAAGTAATTTTCTTTTTTATCATCATAATCAGAAAAAAAAATTGAGCACCTCAAATACATGTTTCTCCCTTCCTGCTCAACTTTTATGTTTACATGTTTCCAATTACAAGGGTAAGTGTACAAAGGATAATTTCAAAAAAGTGAAAAGAGAAGAAAACAGGTGGTACTTGTTTTACAGAGCAGTAGCCTCAGCTATTCAAAATCTTCTGTAGCAGACACTTGACTCTCCCCTTATTGGTGAATTTCTTGAAATATCTTGAAGTGCATATCACTAAAAATTCTTCTTGATTTTTTACTGTACAGAGAGAAAAAGCAGTCTCATATGAAGTTAATTATAACTGGCTTAAAAAAAATTCTAAAATGTTTAGACGGCCATTACAATAGCAACCAAATGATGGTTTCAGGAGGGTTTATTATCCTTAAATTGTAAACTCTTGAATTGTAAACATTAATGGTTTGAATTGATTTTTATTTTTAAGCTTGAATCAGAGTTTGTATGCTGATGCTGGTGGCTCTAGAGCTTGCTCACATTTGCAAAGTTTGCCAGAGCCTTGTTGGCAGATTTTGTACAGTTTGCTATTAAATTTAGGTCTGATAAAATTTAATTGGAAGGGAGTTAGGAAGTTACCTAAGCTGTCTTCTCTTATCCTTGTGAAACTCTTTATGTCTAGGCCTGAGTAAGTAACTTTCTAACATTTAACTAACTTGCATTTACTGAATAGAGGGAGACAAATAAAAGGTGTTAGGGTTGTTTTGCTCTTACAAAATGTTTCTTGGGGTTTTTTTCCGTAAGATTTATGTCAATTTAACTTCAGTTCATGCCTGGTTTTTTCCTTGTGAACTAATATGGACAAAGTTGGCTTCCTCTTGCCAAGCCAGCTGGCCTCATACTGTTTTTGCAGGGTTCTTTGTTTTTTCAGCTTCTACCTCAGTTTTGTAATTTAAGAATTTCCACAGGTTGAGTTGGTCTTGTTTTCGAAAGAGGGTTGCACCAAAACATTTCTCTCTTCAGACATTTATTCTCAGAGTGTGGATATAAAATGAATTATGTTGGTAGAGTGGTATAGCTTGTACCAACAGAAATTCTGTATGGATGCAAAATTCAGATGAAGTTTTTCACTTGTGTAGCAAAGTGAAATGAGATCACCCCTGGAAAGGTTGTACAAGGCTAAGAGGAATAGAGAGAGGAACTAAGTATCACTAAGGATACAAGCACTGAGCCTGATAAATGCAGGAGCAGATTACTTGAGTAAGGAATTCTCCTGTAAAAAAACTTAACAGCTGCTTTATAATAGCAGAAATTCTGCCTTTTTCTTATATTTAGCTATTCTCATTAAGACTTTGATCTCCAAAAACTTCCCAGCTTATATACAAAAGTGTTGATGAGCCATTGCTTGGGGTGGTAGCAGCCATCAGGTCATGGAAACTCAGAGGATCTCCAGTCTAGATGCTATCCTGCTGCCTTCTTCAGTCTTAACCACAAGGAAGGTGCTTGCTGTGACCTCATTGGGGGCTACTGTCTGTGTATGGGATAATAGTTTGTGCTCACACATTTAAGGATGCACATTTTTAGCTGTACTGTGGCATTATTCTTTCTAATGCCAAACATAAAATAGCCATAACAGAGTTTAATTGGTAATGCTTCTTGGCAAGTAATTTGTATTTCTCCAGGTTTAGCCCTACTGTGAAAGACTGAATAACCTTTGACAAATCTGAATTCTACAGTCTTTTTTTGAATGATAAAAGGGAAGGGGAAAAGGTGCCTTATGTTATAACCTCTGTGTCATCTTGAAGGCCTTGAATAAATGAAATTGGTGGGAGCTTGTACACTTACATCTGCTGGACAAGAGCTATCCTTTTCTGGTCCTAATCTGATCAAAATAAATCTTTCCAATTAAAAGGCTAAATGGTGATGATTAAACATGGTGCTGAAATTCTGAGGTTGAAAAGGTCACACCATATTTTCTATGCCCAGGGGAATGTGTGCAACACCTTTATTGTACAGCTGGACATACACTGTGTATGCCATGCAGCTATTCCATTAAGCACTGAATTCAAAGCATTTACGCCTACTAGGTGTGTAAAATATGCACGTGCTTCCTGCCTGCAGCCTTCTCTTCCCAGAGAACTTGGAAACAGGAAAGTGAATAGTAAGAGACAGGCTGCTCCTCGTAGAGTAAATGCTGTTGACTGGTACTTAGAGCCTCAGACTTGGGCTGAGCAAGCTGTAACTTAAATGAATGCAGGTGAGAAGTCTGTTTTCAGCTGCCATTTTTCTGGGGTAGCCATCAGCTTTCCTCCTTTGCTTGATCAGAGATGCACCCAACACATGGTGGGAAGGGTATGCTTGGCTGAGGGAAAGAAAATGGCCTAAAGCACTCTGCTGCCACTGCAGTTTGTTCCCAGGAAACTCTCAGGGAAGAGGACTCTTCAGAGTGAGTTGTGTCCTGCTAGTGGGCTGCCAAAGCCAGAGCCCCTCATTTTAAAATAAATTAGACTGGATTTTTAGTCTTTATTAAAGTAACAGAGCATTTGTCAAAACTTCCACTGGTCTGTGCAGATCTAGTTTGCTAATCTAGAAATATGGAATTTTATTTTTAACGTGTTTGGGGCCAATTCACTTTGTCTTATGAGAAAATAGTTTTATTAATTTGTAGATCAGTTAAGATATAACCCTCACTCCAGTGAGGAGGTGGAAGCCAGAATTTAGATTTTCATCTGTGGGTTTTAGTTTGTTACAGTCTCTTCTGGGGAAAATACACTGTGAACTTAATTATCAGAAGAAAGAACCAGTTTTTTGTTAAGGATGAACTCATCCACATAATGCTGTAAGTACTTGTGATATACTTTATGTAGAACTGAAGTTGGTATGTGAAGGACTTTGTGTATATTTTCCATATTCTTATTATTAATAAAGGACACAAGGTGTAGTTGTAGTTGGTAAGACATGTGCCAAAAGCATTTTGGCTGATTAGTTTTATAGGCAGAATGGGTTAAACAGCCCTGAAGTTCTCCAAAATCTAGGCATAAACAGGAAGCTGCTCTTGTAACTTGCATGCCAGAACACGAGCACAGCAAAAGGCTACTGCATCTGCTGCTTTTCTCATTGTCAAAGAAGTCTGCTAATGGTAGAAATCCTTGCTTCTCTACAGATTTGTAGCTCTGTCTTATACTGTCATCAGTATGCAAGAAAATGTAACGCTGCCTGAGGTGTAGGAAGGATGAGGGAATACAGGTTTTTGGGGGGACATGATGGGGAAGTAGTAACTTACTGGGATTGTTGAGTAGCACAGCATATAACTATATTATAAAATGGCTAGATCCATCTATTTCTTCCCTACCCTACCTTTTTATTTCCATTGCTGCACATGAAGTTCACTTGTGAAGGACTTTATTTTATGCTGTAAGCTGTCAAGGGAAATTCCTCCTTTTCTTCAGTGTTGATGTAATCCTTCATAATACTGTAGTCAACGTGCGAGTTTTTCAGTCCTATCATTCCACATTTTTTATCACGATGTGTGCTAGTGGGTTTTTGATTAGGGGTTGAATGGGTAGAAAGAAGGGGAAGAAGTGCTGTGGATCGCCAAAATAGTAACTTCCAGTGGGTTAAGGAGGGCTGCAGCACTCTTCTGATACAGGAGAGGTGAAATGGTTATGTGTAGTTAATAATTTGCTGCTAGTATAAAACTTCATGTAAAACTCATTTACCCCAATTACTGTCGTGTTCTCTGTCAGTTCTCAGATGAAAGCAGAGTTAAACTGATGCAGCCACTACTTGGTTTGCTTCATAACTGGAGACTGTTCTGAGGAATCCTGCTGCTCCCCTGCAAAATCCAGAAAGCAAATAAAAAGCTTGGAATTCCAAAGACTATCTGTATGTGCCCAATAGCAGTACTGTAGCTAGCAACACCTTCACCTAACACGTATTACAGCCAACAGCACTGGTGGTAGTACTCTTTACATATATAGGTGAAGTTCGGTAAGCCCACAGGATTCAGCTGGCCCTCACTCATTTGAAAGAGGATCAGGCTTAATGCTGAATTTTTGGTTTTAATCAGAAGAGGCTCCTCAGGTGAAATATAGTTTTTCTTTAACTTTGTTCAGCTTGATGATGCACAGAAAAGGGGTGATTTGCTGTTAACTTCTGGACTTGTATGGCAGTCAGTGGAATATGGCTAATTGTGCAGTTTTAAACTAATAGCTCTACATTTTCAAAATCTTGAATAGTGATATCCTAGTAGGTTAGAGAATTCAGATATAGATTCCACTGCTTGTCAGAAACAAATGAGCTGCATCTACTCATTTATCAGGAAAATTTGAGGATTTTTA